TACTACTACTACTACTACTACTACTACTACTACTACTACTACTAGGTAGTAGTAGTAGTAGAACTTCCAGCAGTGCTGGTGGTCTGCTGCTTATGGTGAGAACACCACCAGCTTTTGCTTCTCCTTGTTCTTGTCCTCGTCCTCATGATCTTCTTGTTCACAAAAAAAGTAGCACTGCCAAAAACATTCAACATACTGGACAAGAGATCAATGAATTCCATTCCTGTTTTAGAAACAACAACAAACAGCCACAGTTGTATTGCTGATTCACTTTTAAATTCTTTATAATTTTTCCACATATGGACTCACTTAGTTTTTGAACTGGAGTAAGAAGGGTCTGCTTCAGCCAACTAATTTTGGTGATAACCTCAACTCTAAATTAACGCCAAAACGGCCGGTACACGGTACACGCGCGGACCGTGCGACGCCACAGTTACATAACATACTACCCGTTTGGAAAGTCACCAAGTGACCTAAAATCGGCGGAGGTGGTGATGCCCCGGACTGTACCGTGCGTATTGATATTAGTTTCTTTTCGGGAATCCGTGTCACAAGTGTAGTGCCAACACGTAGTTGTGCTTCTTCCAAATCTTGAATTTGTCTTTGCTTCCAAACGAATCAAATATCAGAAGTAACACCGCAGAGATGTCTGCCAACAATGATGACGATGATAGGCAATACCTATTTGTGATACGGCACGGAGATCGATGGGATTATAGTTACCCGAACTGGAAAAAACTCCCTACTTCAAGATTGGGGGATAGCCCGCTTTCTCCCCTTGGTCATCAGCAGGCACGAGAAGTAGGCCAATTCCTTGATTCTTGGTTATCTGAGAGAAATTTTTCTGCGAAGGATATGACATGGATGTCTTCCCCTTTCTTACGATGCATTCAGACTTCGAACGAAGCCTTGAATGCATTTCGTTCAATTGATGTTTCTTCCGATCTCAACATTCTTCCCGAGTATGCAATCTTCGAATGGGATGGTCACAACGGAGAATGGCACAAAGATTTACCACCACTCGAAGAGCGAGTCAACTATTTTCCAAGACTCGATATTTCGTACCAGAGCCTATTCGTTCCGTCTCTGCCAGAACCAAGATCTACCTTCTTCGATCGTTGCAATCGCGTGGTAGAAACATTCAACGAGAGGCATCCCTACAAACCGCGGCAGGTATTTTTCATGGTGTCCCATGCGGCGGGTTGCGTCGCCATGTCGAAAGCGTTATCTGGTCTTCCGCTGAACGAGATCACACCGGCTGGGCCTTGCAGCATATACATGTTCTCTCGGACGAGTGGGTCCGAGAAATGGACCTTGGATCCACATGACCAACCGAAGAGTATGAATGGTTTCACAGATCATTTAAATGACATGGGTACGGCAACCGTTCCTTGGAACAATTTCGGAGATGGGAAGACAAAGTTCTATACTGGACCAAAGAATTCAAGATTCGCTCCTAAAGAATGTTCGGAAAAATAAAAAATAGGAGTTATGATGGGAAAAATACGTTGCCATAAGCTATATTGTCTCAAGGGCACCTTTGTCAATTTCATTTAGTCGTAGGATGAATTATTCCTTTGAAGTGTTTCTGTCTACGTTTATCGAATCTTTGTCTGAAATCCGGTGAACGGAACTCCCTCAATCGACATCCATTCAAATGCGTTTTCCAAAAACTTTCAATGTCGCTCGTCAATATCGAGGACTAGGAGACCCGATCGTGTCCGTTCGTTGGAAAAGGTACAGATAGGCGTGCTGAATAGGTGGATTTTCGGAGAGAGCTACTTTCTCATCGTTGAAAATGACCCATTTTCCATCCTCTTTTCTCTTGATATGAGCCACGTAGTGACCACTTCCAGTATTCTTACCAATGTGCGAGATCATTCCAAGCATACTATATTTGCCCTCTCCATCTTCCAGGTCTACCTTTGGTCCTGTTCCATCTCCGGTACTGCTTGTTGAACCTTGTCCTTGCAAATTCGCTATCGCCCCATCCAAATCATCCATGTGCGAAAAAAGCCAATCCGCTGCTCGATCCGCAGCACCGTTCGTCTGCTTTAAAGCGACACGAACTTGATCAATGGTAAACATTCCTAGGTTTTCGACGAGGGACATGACAACCGTGTCATCTACATCGCCGCTACTAGAGGCAGTGAATGCTGCCGGGTTGGTCTCGGGGATCGGATCATTGAAATCAGGGTCCATGTTGTGCTCAAAAATCCAATTCATTGCCGCTTCTGCATCTGATCCTCCGACAGCCATCAGAGCTCTCTTGCATCCATTCATTGTAAAACCCATATCCATCAGCTGTCCCAGAGCGGCTTCACTAATTTCGGGCTGCGTTGCAGCAGCACTTGCTGGTCCTCCCCCCTCCTCTTCTGGAACCAAAGACTCAGTTTCTTGGGGACCTACGGCCTTGTAACTTGTGAGATCAATAGATTCTGGAATATCGAGATTGACTTCTAGCTTGATCGGTTGCCAATCCGGACCCAGTTCGTATCGTTGGATTTGAACCCATAAATACCGAGGAAAATTTTTGAAACGGCTTGTTTCCGTTGCGTCATGAGCTGCGTTGTCCAGGTGTGGCCAGCGAATGTTCTCAAGGGCTGTTTCGGCCGACCACGAGTCCAAGCATTGGGAAAATGTGACCGTAGGCACCTCGGTGTTCTCTTCTCCTTCTTGCTTTTGTTTTTTTGGTTCTGGTTCCTGTGCAGGAATGACCTTTGCCTTTTCCATTGGCAAACGCAAACTCCACATTGTCTCCGCGGCACTGTCTTTGTATTTGATCTTTTTATCGGCACTGCAAACTATTCTCGATTCGATCTTGAAAGAGAAGAGGTTCGATGTTGGAATAATGTCACGATCATTCTTGAGTTCGGCGCGATCAATTTGCTCCAAGAAATATAGTAAAAACTGAGCAGCATCCTGTTGTTGCCCCGTGCGAAAGTCGACATGATCTTTGCCAATCAAATGTTTGAACATGCGTGGAGTGACGCGATACTTCGGGTTCGTAGGTCCTTCAGCCTCCAATTCTTCCTCGGGAATAGCGTAAGTTCCGCTTGTAAGTGCGCTTATCAGTTTACTAGTTTGGACCAAGAGTTCGTTCGGCGCCGAAGATGGAGAAATTCCTTCGAAGAATCGATGGTGGAAAACATCACCGCCCGGCTTCGTCCCATATCGACTGGCTATTTCCGGCAGAGCTACCAATGCTTGCATTGCGCTATTGCAGTAACAAGTGTTCCCCAAGTTGACAAGTCCCTGTAGCCCTGGTCCAGTGACTGATATCAGCTTGGAGCCACTTTCGGTAATCGCATCGAATGCATAGTTCTAAGTCAAAACAGTACCGCAGGATGTATGTCGTACGAAGAGCAAATAGGTTGTGAGATACACGGAGTGAATTTCAGATGCACGAAAATGAGCGTCAATATCTGTAGGTTTTCGGCTGGAGAACACAGACCAGCCTGCGCACATGTTCAATTCTTTCTTACCGCATTCAGCTCCACCTCGAGCTCGGCCGTCGATTTTTCCGTCTTCTGCAAACCCATCACCTCGATTCCTCTCGCCCGCAGCAACTCCCCCAAGTTTGGAATCTTTACTGGACCATCTTCGTCTTTTGCATAACTATAGCAGTCGGCAGACACAACAGAGCCTTCCGTGCTGATGGTTCCCAGTTTCACCACCAAGGGGTACTGTTGCCCTGTTTCTTCATAGTGATCCAAGGCGCCGTTACTACCACCACTGCCGTCCCAATTCTTGCGTCCTCCACCAATGAAACCATCGCTTAGGTTGAGCCATATATTCTCCGTGTCTCCACTTTTTTCACATTTCCACGATTTGGGATCTGGAGAAATTTTCACCCCGTTATCTACAAATGGCAGCTCGTTGCAGTACTTGCTGATGGGAATCTCTTCGTCATCCTTCCACGCTGTCAAATCTTGCTGAATGGCCAAACCGACGTGATGAATAATTGATTTGGCACTCTTGACGACCATTTCCGGAAGCTTCGCCGATGCATCGTCGTCTTCAACATCGAACGGAATTTCGATGATAATATTCTTGCTGTTATCCATAACTAAAATAGAATGCTTTGTGACGGTTTCGTACTTATCACTATCTGTCGAAAACCCACCTTCGACACCAATGCCCAGCGTCGTGGGAAGTTTATCTTCTCCGTTGTTCTCGGTGGCATCGTCGTCATTTATCTTGCACTTCCGCGTCTTGACGATTCTGAGGAAAATGTCACGTTCCTGAGACGAATCGGCGGCAGCAAAGGCAAGTTCTGGAACTGTCCCTATGAAAGTATTCATGTTGACAAGGATTCCTTCGTCTGTAGAGAACGGATTGTGGAACGAGAAGGCACATTCGCTGTGCGAGACAGTGTCTCTGGGACTTGCAACGCGGCAGCGATGCGCTAAGGTTTCGATGGCCTCCATGATGACTTATGGGTAAACAATAACGATTTGTTGTTTGTTCAATCCGCTAACAAGCTAGAAGTCTCTTTTTGACTGCCGGTAGGGAAGTGTGAGAGGGTCGTACCGTATCGTATGGTGTGGGTTGTGGATATCATTTCGAACGTACAAGTATTTGGTATTTCGTACTTGTACCTGGTACCGGTACGAGTACAAGTACGACCACGGGATGACCAACGGCACTTTTTCAAAACAAAAATCATAATTTTTTTGAATCATGAATTTTGAATCTAACCAAATTATTTTAATCGATTTCAAGCACTTCTAGCACTAATAGTACTAGTGGTGGACAAGGCAACCCCTCCAGAAGCATAGTTTTCTGCATAGATTGCTGAGACAACTTCTATCCATGAGTCAGGCCTGATCAGCAGAAGGATATTGTTAACAGATCTCTCTAATGATCTTTACTATTTTTAGGGTCCCACAACACATAGTAGTATTTAGGTTCCCACAACACATAGTAGTAGCAACACTAGTAGATGATGACTGGCTATTACATCATACCAATGCTCATCTKATACATCATATGCATACGAAATGGGATTGGAAAACAATCATAGTCCCGCTTGACTCATTCACACACATTCGAAATGAATGTGATGTTCGACTACTATCTAACATAGTCGAAGAATACAAAAGTCGCAGTAATTCATTGATTATTCATCTGGTGGGCAGCTAGCTAGGGGTTGTTTAGTTATCGTAAGATTCTTTGATCTGTATGCGAAATTTGAGAATTTTCTGGAGAACCGGGTCGTCTTCGCACATTGCTGCCATGGTTTTATCCTCTTCTAAGGTTGTTGTCCAACCATCCAAACTGGAAATGATGTCATCGCCTCCTTTTTTCAGCATCATGGTGTCGATTTTGTTGCCTGACGGTACAAACCCATAGTTCTGAAGCAACTCAACAGAAGATTCCAGTCCATTTCCATAAGCAATTACCAGTTCTTTTCCTGCCGCGATCGGACGAGTAGCTTCCAAAGCAAACCACGCATCGTCCTTTTCGGGATCAATCAGTGTCATTCTACAATTCGGTTGATCGGAGCTGTGATTGGCAATATCGATAAATGGGACCATGACATAGAGCGCTTTCTTTTCACCCCCTTTACTGATGATCTGTCCCTTCTCATCCTCATCAGGCATAATGTCATCTTCCTCACTCGCAGGTGCTGGAATGTACAACCTGAATTGTCTCGAAGTTGTTAACCAAGTTGCAAATTGCAATTCTTCTTCAGTGAGGCTGCGTTGGGCTGCAACTTCTGCGATTTCTTTCTTGCGTTCCTTCGCTCGATTTATCAAACGGGGAAATTCTAGGAGAGCAAGATCGTCATCAATGAAAAAGTCTGGCGTTCGATCAAACAAGGACGAGTCTTGCGTTGGCAACGTGTCCAAGTAAGGGCTCCACAATTTACTAGCTTCTTCGTTCTTCATGTACATCTCTAATAGGTTCGCTCCTCGATGAGCCGGGGTGGGAGCGTCTTCTCCATTTTTGCTCGGATCGGCCAAGGCCAATGCACATGCAGACGGAATTTGACAAAACTTTTGGCCCTTCTTGATTTTTGACGTGCAGAAAAGCCCACGTCGTCCCGTCTCTTGGTGGAAACCAATGTCGACGTTTTCTAGCCCTTTTGCTTTTTGAGCTTTGAGAAACTTGAGTAGTTTTTCAGACTCCTCTCCAGTGTCCGTTGTATGAATGAAATTCGTTTTCTTAGTCGTCCCAAACCCTGCTCCCCCGGCGGATCGAACAGCCTTTGTCTTGGGTTTTGATTTGGCCAGGGCGTTCACTTGATCGATGACGCCATATGTGCATAAAATGGCAATACCAAAGAAATGCGTCGCTAACAAGGCCTTCATCTTACTTAATCCCTGTGCAGTCAACCGAATATAACTTTACAGTTTTACGACAACTGCAAGTGAGGAGGTTTTATTATGTTGTTTTGAAATAGACTTGCTGACTTCGTCGTATCTCCTCCGTCTCGACAAAGGAGCTGTTTTTGAGAAATACAAAACGTACGTACGTACTCGTACTATTCTTGGTCTGTCGACTGTCGATCTCTCAAAAACCATGAGTATCCGTCTTCCGAAACTTGGAACTCATCATTACGTGATGGGTTCTTCTACTGGTCGAACGTACTCGTACTCTTATGGAAACGGGTACTAAGTACCGGTTGTACGGTACGTACCCATACTTATGTTGTCTTCCAAAAATTTTACATTAGGTAACTTCTCGTAACGTTGGACTGACGGATGACAGACGTTGTAATATTTCATTCCTGAATATTTTAGTCCCATATCAGTGAAATCCTCATCAACTTTTTGGAAAGCTGATGCCAAGTTACGTTACGTACGTACGTACTCGTAGTAATTGTTCCTTGTTCTGAACGTGCGTACGAAGGTGAAATGTGAAATACCGTACCGCACAACATCGTCAGCAGTCAACGAGCAGCTCATTATGACCCAAAAACCGCAGCTGCGGTACGCGTACCGGTACTCGTACCTGCTGGTAGAGTGCTGTACTAGATTTACTGTAACTTGTACTACGCAGGTATGTGTACATACGAGTACTCGCAGAATGTCTGTACCTCGTTAAACAGATCGTGATGTGATACCGATATTAAAATTCGTCTCCGACTAGCTCACTCATTTTGTGCCGTATGAGTACGCAGGAAGTGAAGTACGAGTGTACGTACTGTGATTTTCAACGCTACCGTTTCGGCGTAATCGAATTAGCACTTTCTGTTGAATGCTCCATAAAGACTATACGTGTACTGCAGCGTTCAAGAGAGGCATTGCAAGCCATGCATTGAGGGTAGTTGACATCAAAGTGTGTAGAAATAGAGATCATGATGCGCCGTTTCCTGCGGAAAGGCTCTAACGAGTTGGATCCCAATCCTATTGAATCCTCGAATGGTACGAGTTCTCTGAATGAGTCGGGGCCAATTCCTGATCGGAACGGTGAAAGTCGCATGGTTTCGGGTGCGGATGTTAGTCCCACCAAGACAAAGAAGACTAGAAAAACAAAGAATGTACATTCGCTCCCAGCCACACCAGTTTCCGCGTCGACGGAGCGAGAAATCCACGCCCAACGATTACAGAAAGTCATCGCAAAGACAATGATGGATAGCGGAGAAGGGCTAAAATCATTCTATTCGTGCATCGAGGCTTCTGATGCTTTGGCTTCGACTTCTACGTCTTCTGGTAGAGGAATTGATGACTCGACTGGGTTGACTGATTGCTCGGTTTTGGTTTCACCTGATGGAGAGCTCCTCATTATCCCGCAGCAGCAACAACAATACAGCAAGGAAGGACGTGCGAATGACTCGGAAGAAAGTCATGATAAGGAAGTTGACGGAGAAGGTATGCCAGCCGAGCCCAAACGGAAAGAAAAATCTCATTCTTGGTTTGATGCACACGGTACTGCATCGAATGAACTGGGCGAGGAATACAACTCAGCCGTCTTTCTTGGGAATGACTTGCACAAAGAGGGCGATAAGAATCTTAACGGCTTTTCAGCAAAGGGCTGGTCCACAGCGGCCACATCCCTTGCTTTAAAACAGTCTGCCGATCTTATGGGTGACTTTGCTGACTTCATGGAACAATTGGTCCAGACGAAAAGCCCGAGTACCGCACAAGAAAAGCGACCGATAGACAAGCTACGGAGCATGATTGGGGAAAAGCAAACAGAACTTACAGAATCAGAAGTTGCAACTTACCAACATTACTTGGATAAGAACTTTTCTGCAGAGCAAGAGAAACAGAGAAAGTTTCTCAGAAAAAAAGTGAAGGATCAACAACAAAATATAGTTCTTGAAGTGTCTCGTGATCGAGTGGGACCTCTGAATTCTTCCGGCGGTACAATTCCAGCAGCTCTGCAAGCGCTCGAAACCTATTATTCAAGAGTCGAAGAATCCGATGCAAGACTTTGGGGTAACTTTTCAAAACGCTCAGGGGCATTGACTAAAATTCAAAACACCACAAAGAAGACAGAAGAGCGCGTCAACGGTCGACAGCTTGCTCTGCAAGAAACGATGATGCGGATCAAGGTAATGGAGGATTACTTACGCGAATGCAAGGAGGATGCCAAGAATAAATGGGACAATGTTCACCAAACCGAAGTTAAAATAACCGCTCTTGTCGAGGAAAAGATGATGAAACACAATAAAATGAAAGAGGAGCAGCGGATGCAGCGAATGGAGGAAGAAGTGGAACGAACAAGTAGCGATGATGGAAACTCAGCAGCAACATCGTCAGAAATTTGGGATCTCGTATCTGCAGCGACAGCATCGATCGAAGAGGGAAGTTTCGAACCTGTAGTTGACCTTTCAAATGATTCTTTGCCCACAGTCGCTGATAACGAATCTACTTCCGACACTAATGCTGACGAATCACAAAACGCCTTCGAAGTATCGGAAGAAATGGAAATGGAAATGGATACGAGGTACGAGTTCGAAGTTCAATACCGCCTACCCGAGTTAAGAATAGTGGCACTTGCTGCCGAGGAAGCGGTTGAGGGTGCTGCAGATTCACTCTTGAGTGTTCTATCTAATTTCGATCGTACGAACCGATCGGCTCATCTTTCTGCGGAGACCTGTCTGGTCAGTTGTGGAAATACGCAAGCGACATGTCTGCGCTCAATTGTTGCTACTGAACGAGAATCACTCAAGGAGCGATTAAAACTATTGGAGGAGCTTGAAAATAAAGTCGACGAAATAGACGTCCGAGCCGATTTGGATGAGTATATATCAGTCGATAAGACAAAACCAGGTGGTCGGAGTTCACTGGGTGAAGATGATGACGGTGGTGTAGCATCGGCGCTGAATCATCTTCGTGGCGATCTGGGTTCGGAGAACAATGGAAATTGGGACCAAGAATCGAGCATTGATGACGACAATGCAGGAGTAGAAGATGATGATTCAGAAATAACGCCTCAGTTCATAGAGGAAAAATTGGAGTGCTTTTTCCGAAACGAACCTCTTCTTCTAAGCGACGCACGAAAGAGTGATAGTGCTACGACAATACAAGAAGACTTTGAAGCAACCATTCTCGAGCTGTGCAAAATAGCAGGGGGGAAATCGCAAAAGTCTACAACTAGACGGTCTACGATGTGTTACGCCATGAACGCGAAACGATGTTCGAATCCACGAATCCCATCGCGAGCACAATTCGATGGTCTCTGCAGAGTTTTCGCGGCCGTCCTTTCCGGCTGCAGTACCAAAACTGATGGTGGATTATCCAGTGCTATACTGCTAATGAGTCTTTCCGAGCATTTTTACGCTCGAGAAAAAGACAGCACCGCTGCACGCGAGGACACATCTTCAAAGAAGGTCTTCGTCAAATCTTCCTTGGTCGGTCATCCGCTCTGGGAAAAGGACGAATTTTGGGATAGAGCCTTTCACCATACCATCATGGAGAAATTGAATTATATTGGGGTCATGTCCAACTTTGAACGGGAATCCGAAAAAATCGTAACGTTAGAAAACAAGGAACGAAGCCAATGGACAGAAAACAAGAAAACAAAATGGTACGATTTGACCGAAGTAGAACGACTCGAAGCTGCCTCCCAGGTGAACGCCGCCGTCTTTGCAGAAGTCAGCACTATGTCCGATTCCATGTTTGAGTTTTGTGGCGATCTCGAGAAAACTAGCTCATTTGTTCGCCGCGCATGTGTCAAGAATCAGTTGCCCATTTCCCAGCGATCTACTCTCCTTCGTCATTTGATCCGAGATTCGGTCGCCGCTAGCAAAGTTGTCGAAAACAATTGAATGCCGCAATCTCTCGGAACCAATCATACCTTAACGAGTCAGGGTGATTACCTGAGACTAAAAATTAGGAACTCAATACGGACTGAACTATATAGACGTCTTACTTTTAGATTTCTATTTTGGCAATCGTTTCAGCTGAAATCAAAATCTCTTCTGGCGTAGCAGCCGCTCGCGACTGTCACTAGACAACAACGAAGGGTCTGAGTAAGTATGCATGGTCGGCCCACAATTTCCGCCGTTCTCGTGACAAGGATAATTGATTTCTGTAAAGTTGTTCGGCGTCGCCCAAATGATCTTCTTCTCGATTCCGAGAATGTTTTGTCCCATGGCGATTCGAAAGAATCCCATCTCGCCCCAGTACTCGCCCCAACTATTGCGGACGATCCAGTAGTCCTGTTGCGTCTGTTCCTCTCGCCCCCATCCAGTAATGGATACCGCGTGGGTTGTGTCTCTGGAGGCGGTAGCATTGTTGTAAATCCCACCTACGTATTCGGCCAATCCGTGGCCATTGATGGAAGCCACCACGGGTCCTCGCGTGAATATTTCCGCCTTGACAGCCTTCACCATGCGTATCAGATTCGTACTGTTGTTGTGATCAATGGTGTCTGGTGTTCCGATGTTGGTGTTTGGTTCGTCCCCGTAACCATAATCCTGCGGTCGGTAGTACCCGTATTCGGCGATTGTTGCATTTGGCATGATGTCTATCTCGCGGCAAGTTCCGCCGTTTTCCACAAATGTATCGCAGGTTCGACACGTGTTCAGAGGACTGCAGGTGGTATCCACAAAGGGACAAAACCCCTCTAGGGATTCTGCACTACAGGCAATGTAAGGCATGCAGGTATCGTAAGGCACGTATCCAGAACCATCCTTGACGAATCGATAGAGTTTCATCGTGCTGCCACCACTGCAACTGCCGACGGACTCGGTTCCGCAGTTGAGAATGTATTGGATGCTCAGGTTGATGTCGGTCCCGGCCCCAGACCTAGCAATCTTGATGCGGTCGGCCAACGCCGAGAGCGCCGCGTGGGCCCAGCAACTGCCGCAATATTGGGGAATGTGCTGGTTCAACGATTTGGTCAGGTAACTTATCCCGCTGACATTCTTCCAATCGAAGGACTCGGGTAGCTCATCTGTGTCGATGTATTCTACGGGCAGTGGTGAAAAATAGTCGCTCTCAACGTGGTCGTTTTCGAGTAGCTCGCTGTAGAATTCGGAGGCTACAGCGTGTTCCTCTCGAAGGCCCGTACTAGGATGGTTCGCGTTCACGTCATCTATCAATGCCAACCCTAGGGCAAGATGAAGTGGGGTTGCGAATGAAAGAATTCTTGTCATCTCAGCGATTTCTTTGGTGAATTCCTTCCCAATGCTCAGGTCCTTTCGTTTTTGAGTTGTCCTTCCTGGTTGTGCTGCTCGTTGTTCAGGAATAGAACTCCGGTATGGAACGAAAATGGTCCTGGAGAAACAAGATCTTGATGGCATGGTTACTCCCGTTCGTACAAAAGGTACGGCAGAGGTACGGCAGAGGTACGGCACGTGTGTCGTACAAGTTCACAAGCACCTCAATTCGTTTTCTGTTCGTCCCGTACAAAAAGTACGAATGAATGCCATCTTTTCATTTTTTCCGAATCAAAATCTGATTGAATCAGAAGTATCTTACTTTACTGTATGCTACGTACCGGTACGTACGTACTCTATCAGTCAACATACCGGTACATTGTTGACGGCGGTACGCACTTACTCGTTCTCTACTGACGGAAACATTCTTTATGTCTTTATGACTTTCTAATCTAACGGTCGAAAACATTGAAACATTCCTGTAATAAAACGTTACGAGTATGGTACGTACGAACCGTACGCTGCAATTCCCGGGGAAGTGAGAAGCTTTGACGTAGAATATCTACGAACTCAGTCACCTACGGTATGGCACACGAAGATGTGCGCTCTGATGATTGCTGTAAATTCTTTCGAAAATGATTTGTTGAAACCGACACCGTCAATCGTGATCATATCGGTACTCGTACTTCATTGATGTTTGCATTTGTGATCATATCTCGTCTGCGATACCGTCTCTAAATTCTGAATCAAGACACACTCATCCCATTGAATTTCTACCATCATGATGTTTCGCAACACCGCCTTTCTTTCCTTCGTCCTAGCGTCTCTTTCTTTGACCCACGGCCAATCCCAACCCGCATCGTCGGAATCAGATCCGAGCCCTAGACGCCATAACGAATATGTAATCCTCGAGGGGCATACCCAGCGCGAAAACTTCCATTCTCCCCTGCCTCACACATATATCAAAGAGGAGGATCTACCGGTAAGTCGATTTCAATTGCTTGTTTACGAAGTATATTCGTAGTCCGAAAATGCTTTGGCCGTAGCGATTGGTTCGCACCTCTGTTCTCATCCAATGTCGTTTCGTGCAACCATGCTCCAGAACAACTGGGATTGGCGTAATGTCGATGGCGAAAGTTATACTACACATGCCCTAAACCAACACATTCCCCAATATTGCGGTAGTTGCTGGGCGCATGGTAAGTCTACTCTCAGATTGAATTCGATGCAATTCGTATGGGCGTGTTGCCTGTCGAATGGTGTCAACTTGCGCTCGGTCCACTGACATATTCATTGATCAATTGACTCACTCACTCTGCCTTCTGCCATTGCACACATGCTGCGCTAATCGAAATCGATCTTTTCTTGGTTTGGTTTTATTTGATTTGGTGGTCGATTGGTTGTTGCTTGCTCGAAAAAATCCTATAGGTGCGCTGTCCTCGCTCGGAGATCGCATTAAGATTGCACGCAATGGAACAGGAGACGAAATCAATCTGAGCATTCAATACATTTTGAATTGCGCGTCAGCAACTGCTGGGAGTTGCCACGGCGGAAGTCACACCGGTGTCTTTGAATTCATTCAGAAAAGCGGTTTGGTCCCATACGGTATGTCACGCCCCTTTGGATCTACTGTGCAACTTGATTATTGCTCTTGACAACGAGTATGATGCCTCAGACTCATGTTGCTGATTGGTTTGTTTTTGTTGTTTGTGTTTGTATCATTCATATTTCAGACACTTGCCAGCCTTACCTAGCATGCAGTTCGGAGTCAACCGAAGGCGTACGTCATTGATTGAGTCAAGAATGAAAAAAAAGGTTATGGAATCGTTTGGGGCTTGCTAACACTCTCTCTATGTTTTTGTCGTTTTCGATATGCACCACTACGACATAATTACAGTTTTGTGAACACGTTGATACTACCTGTTCAAACATTAATACTTGCAAGACCTGTGATACTTTTGGTGGAATGGGTGGTCAGTGTACGGAAATCGATGTGATGCCCGTAAGTGGTTATGAAATACAGTGTCCCCCACTTTGTTCGTGAAAGATGGTTTTGAGAATATACAGAATACTTACACTCCTTGATAATGACCTCTATGTGGGAACTATAGAACGCAACGATCGCTGAATATGGAACCTACAGTTTTTTATCGGATCCTTCAGGAATAGTTCACAAAATTCAGAGTGAGATTTATGCTCGGGGTCCTGTTGCCACAGGAGTCAATGCTGAACCCATTGTCGAGTATACTGGCGGTCGCGTCGATGACACCAAGTTTTGGCACATGCTGGTGAACCACATCGTGAGCATCGTAGGATGGGAAACAGACGACGAAACGGGCGATGTCTATTGGATAGTTCGAAATTCTTGGGGTAGGTAACCTCCATTGTTTTGGTTCTGGTCAAACAGCGCAACAAACTCCACTAGACCCAAAACCCGCATTTGTCTTACCCATTCTATTGCCCTTGATTTGTTCTCAATCTTTGTCGTGTCACCAGGTCAATACTGGGGAGGTGAGCATGCTGATCTGTAATTATTAGTCTTCTTTCGTGAAACTCAAGCGAGAGCTCTCTCTAACAACTTCCTTTTTGTGTCTCCATCATAGAAATGGGATATTTCCGCATCCTAGCTGGTCACAATTCCCTTGGTATCGAAATGGACGTAGCATGGGCCACACCTGGACAATTCACTGTTCACAACTTTCCCTGTTACGAAGATGGTGCTAACTGCAATGGAGGAGTAGCTACTCAGTATTATGAAGATCCGTCCAAGAATGTGGAAAAAGTCAATGAGCGTCTGATGCGGGAAAAGAAGAGGCGTCTCACATCCGTACGCAAGAACGTTCGCGGTTGAGAAACATTCGATAGTGATATTGCTTTATTCTTTTTATTTTGTGTATTGACTGAACTACTAAAATAATTACTAGAGTACCTCTGAAAAAACGAAGCTTTTCACTGAACCATGGTGCTCAAAAAGTTTGACTGCAGATCTGTTTTGGATCCAGAAACTGTTGACCTCGTCACCAACATACTCTTTTTCACTCTAGATTTTACTACACTTTGTCGAAGAAGATAGATCACAAAAAACGCTTTTCAAACATTGCTCTACAAGCATGGTGCGATACGAACGAGCCAAGTTTGGAAATGATACACTATTGTACTATTTTACCGACTCACTCGACTAAAAATTCACGACTGAATTTTCCAATCGTGCATTCCCCAACATAGTTGCTCATTCACCCACCATCCATTTTCTAAAAAAGAAGTGAAAAATGGGAGCAAAGCGAGGAAGAATGGAATCTGGGTAATGAAAATTTCCCCCTTAGAGTACGTAATTTGACGTACGGGACTTTTACCTCCGCAGGTAGGTGGCAACAGAAAGACGAGAGAATTTGAAGCACAACTACGACAACTACAGGGTTGGACTACGTTATGTTTCGTTCCAAGTTTCTCTCATTGCCAAATTCTAGCGAAATACGTTTCCCGGTGTTCATCAAAGTTCTTTATTATAAAAATCTGAGCGACTTTGCTCTACACCACAACAATCTTCCACCATGCCCCCCAGCAAAATGAAAACCAATGCCTTGCCCCGGACGGGAGCCTCGTCTAAGGTTGGCAAGGGTCGCGACAACGCAAAGAACGGGCACCGTTCGGCGGAGACGATCAATCGGTTGAATCTGTACAAGTCTAGAGCGATTCGCAACAAAAAGGGCATCGTTATCGGTGGAGACTTTATGATGGGCAACCGAGCCGGTGACAGGGAAATCACAGCCGAAACTGGACGGATCGCTCCGGATCGTCGGTGGTTCGGAAACACCCGAGTCGTTGATCCGAAGCAGTTGGATACATTTAGGCAGGAAATGACGGAAAAGGTTGCCGATCCCTATTCCGTTGTTTTGAAGCGAAAGAAACTGCCTATGGGACTATTGAGAGAGGCTGCAGATCGGGATGCCCCGCCGAGTCAGGCCTTGTTGGAGCAGGAGCCTTTCTCACAAGCATTTGGTAGCAAATCCAGGCGTAAGAGGGTCAAATTGGACCAGCTCATGCTGGCAAGAACGGACGAAGATCCGAATAAGAACAACGTAGAGGAAGGTCGACGCAAGGGCGGTAAAGCAGAAGTGGTAGAAAACTTTTCCTCTACCCAAGATGGAGAAGAGGTCAATCCCTATGCAAAATTACTAAGTGTTGCCAAAACGAGTCACGAAACCTACCAGAGTCGGAACAGCCGCGAGGGTATTGTTCCCTGGGGTCGTGATTCGAATCTAACTAAGACAGAGGGAGAAAACGTTGATTGGAGACACGAAAAGAAAGACGATTTGTTCTTGAAGGGTCAATCCAAACGAATCTGGGGAGAATTTTTCAAGGTCGTCGATTGTTCGGATGTTATTCTACACATCATTGATGCACGCAATGTGCCAGGTACTCGATGTACTATGATTGAAAGACACATTCGCGATAATGCATCTCACAAGCATTTGGTCTTCGTGCTAAATAAGATTGATTTGGTTCCCAACTGGGTGGCGAAACGTTGGATGGGAGAGCTGGCCAAAGATCGTCCCACCATCGCCTTTCATGCGTCCATGACACATGCGTTCGGAAAAGGTGCGCTGATTAGTCTCCTCCGACAGTTTGGAAAACTGCACGATGACAAAAAGCAAATCAGTGTTGGCGTGATCGGCTATCCCAATGTTGGAAAGAGTAGTGTTATCAACACACTTATTTCCAAAAAGTCGTGCAAGGTTGCTCCCATTCCCGGAGAGACAAAGATCTGGCAATACATTACTTTATTTAAGCGTATTTCACTCATTGATTGCCCTGGAGTTGTTGTTGACACAGCAGGGGACACTGAGACAGAGTCGGTCCTGAAGGGTGTTGTTCGAGCTGAGAGACTCGAAACTCCAGAAGACTATATCCAAGCGATCGTAAACAAAGTGAAACGTGAACACATTGCAGGACAGTATAAGTTCACAAAGGAAGAGTCTAAATGGAAAAATGTCACGCATTTATTGGAAACTATAGCAACGAAGGCAGGTAGACTGCTTAAGGGTGGAGACCCTTGTCTTCGAAGTGCAGCTATTACTGTGATCAACGATTTCCAAAGAGGGAGGTTGCCTCATTATGTACCGCCTCCAGAATTGAAAGAAGATGAAGAGCAAATCAAATCGAGCGAAGCAGTCGTACAATCAATTGAACCCGAAACACAAGATCTAGAAAACGTCGGAGAGGAAAATATGAAGACCGACCAAACGGAGGAAGAAGATCAAACTAGTGAAAAGAACGAAATAGAGTCGACGGAGAATAAACAAGCTGAAGAGGGAGAAAAAGATGAACCTATTGCCGTTGCGGAAGGAGAATGGGAAGATTGATAATGACAATTTAGGAACGATATGTGGACTTTGTTTTGATCCAATAGATTCTAATTTAGGTTTTTGACGGCTGATTGTTCAATTGGTATTGATACGAAGTATTTTAAGAAGTTGATTCAGTCTTCCTCTGTCATGTTAGCGCGCGCGTGCCTCAGCACACCAATTCAAACTAAATTTCAGTACGTAGATGATGCCAGTTCCCCTACCACAGTTGAAACTCCTCGTTTCAGACTTTTGTTGTACCTCCATCTATCCAATGAAAAAGGTGGGAGAACGCAAGTTCTTAACATGTGTTTCATACGATGTTCGGTTTTTTCGAGATATTATGTGTCGTTTAGCACCGCGAATACGACGAAATGCTCCTTTGGTGGTATTCTTCCTGGACCAAGAAAATTCTTATGCATAAACAATGGAGATACTTGGGGAAGACACACCTCCACTCTGTTGGAGTTGGACATCAAAATTTCGTTTGATTTAATTTTAGCTGCTCGTTGTCATATGAAAATTTAGTATTTCGAAAAAGCAAATGATCATAATTGAAGTCAATTGCAATTTCCATATCAGGACGATGGAATCTATTTCGTCGAGCAGTCCGACGGGGTCGGTTTCCAGTAAGCAAGCTCTAGACACTGCTAGGAAGCGCAAGCATGAAGTGGGAGTTCCTGAACAATCAACCCAGCTACAGCACAAGAGACATGCTCTCAGGATATCACAGGATGGGAGGAGGTTGAGATCAGCAGATGAGGGAAGAGATGATTCTTTCGTAGTGGGTAGAACCGTATGGCGCCAGCATGCTCAACCTATAGCCACACAAACAAACATGTATAGGGAACAAAATTATTCAGGCAGGTCACATCGAATTTCTACCACCAGAGTACCTCATCCTCACCAAAAATGGTATCAAGCTCATCATGCAATGCAATGGCACTGTCGAGGAAACCAACATTCAGTTCAGTATCCCGCTCACAACGGTGGATCTTTTTCGTGGAATCCGACTAGAAGCCCATACACATATAGAAATACTACTACGTATGCTCAAAGAAAATCCCTTCCCGATGATTATAAGAGAAATCGAATTCCTTTCACAATGAACCGTGCTCCTCTAGACAGGAGTGCTCAATCCCGACATCACCATCAATCAAGCGTGAAGATTCCATACAATATCACCATACCAAAGGAGATATCTCCCTCAAATATTCTTAAATCTTCTATGGAAGGAAGCCTTGATAAACGATTGCATGGTGAAGTATATACTAGGCCTGAATCGCCAACCACGAAAAGAAGAAAAGAAATAGGAGTAAAGGAAAATTTTAACAAGCTTGACCTGTTGTGTTCAGCAACTCTAGAGCTTGGGCCTCTGCAAGAGAACCCAACCGGTTGCAGCTGCCCTAAGTCCAAATGTATTGCTTTGTACTGCGACTGTTTCAAAGCGGGGAGGCGCTGTGATCCAGCAAGGTGCTCATGCCTAAATTGTAAGAATACGGTGGAGGAAAGTGGACCAAACGGTGCACGCTCCAAGGTGAGTGATTTCGTAAGGAGGACGATATCCATTTTTAAGATTTTTTCATACGATTGCTTACTTCAGTTTCTCGACATGGGGCTCCAACGAATGGTTTCATTCTGAGCAGGCAATTCAAGCGATTCTTGCGAGGAATCCAAGAGCATTTCGGAATGCTGGGCATCCTGTTGTTACGAACAAAGAATCTTCGGGAGAGCAAGGATGTAACTGCATCCGTTCCAAGTGCCTTAAGTTATATTGTACGTGCTTCCAAAAGGGAGATGCATGCAATCCTTTGATCTGCACTTGCGTAGGTTGTTTAAATCTTGAAGAAGATATCAGCGGTATGAGACAACTAGCAATCCGAATGACACTGGAAAAAAGACCGGATGCTTTCAAACAGAAAAGTAGAACGAAAGTACTTGGGGCTGGTTGTGCTTGCAAAAACAATCAATGTGTTAGGAAATATTGTGAATGTTTTCGTACTAATCTGAAATGTACTCGAAATTGTTCCTGTAAGAATTGTAAGAATAAGTAAGCCATGCATATGCATAAAACAATGGTGAAAAGTGCAGATTTAAAGAAAATAGAGTACACTACTTCAAGCTACTCAATTATAGTCAAAAGCTCATTCGCGTTTACAATGCAAAATTACTCTAATTCTTGCCAACTCGTTCAAAATTATCGTTGTGGTTTGCTTTCCTTCGTCGGGAGCAAATCAAGTGAACCGGAACGCACGATTTTGTGCTCACACCATCCATTGATTCTTGGTAAAGATTTTCAGTTTTCAAAACTTCGAATGAAACTTTTTTCGGAGCATCTTTGACGAGTAAAGTTGCTTTTTTGGCATTTGGATCATCTCGAAAACTTACACCATTTATTGCGAGGATTGTGTCGCCATGGACTAAAGGGGAGTGCCGAAGCAAGCCTTTCGCACTAATTTCAGTCACAATTAACTTGTTATTCACTGTTGCAAGACTGATGCCAACAGTTTGTTTCTTTTCGTCCTTTGTCACGGTTACTCGTAATTTCTGGTAATTCACGGAAGAATTTTTTCTTCTCACTGGTGTGTTGACAGAAGAATTCTGTCTTCTTTCCGGTGTGTTCACGGGAGAATTCTGCCTTCTTTCAGATGTGTTCACCGGAGAATTCTGTCTTCTTTGAGGTGCGTAGCGCCCTACTTGTTTTTCTTGACCACTAGCAAGGGCTTTCTCCAAAGATGAATTTTCCTCATTTCCTTTCAGTTTTTCGGAATGAGAAACATCTGCTTGTTTTTTCGACACACTGTCGTAAGAATCAAATGACCTAGTCTTCAATACCTCACCTTTTTCGTGGTGTCTTATTTGCAGGTCAACCGGTACAGCAGGGGAGAAGCTTGATAACTTCTGGTATTCGATGTATACTTCTCTATGTGCGTCTCTAATTATTGAAGATGCCCTCGCTGCACTAGCTTTCTTTCTGAAGCTTATTCCATTAATGGATAAGATAGCGTCTCCAACTTTGAGATCAGTACAACTTGCCAAACTACGAGGTGTAACGTTTGAGACTACGAGAAGCCGTCCCCATTCGGTTGTGATCTCCAGCATCTTGAAACCAATGTCCTCATCGCAGTAACTCTTGATGATTCTGACGTTACTTGATGCATTGTAGCCAAAAAGAGAAGCACCGTAAGATTCTTCGTCAAATTCAAATTCATTCCTACTTCTTGAAGGACTGGAGACAGCTTTCGATGCATTGTTAACCGCATCATGGCGGAAATTACTTTTCCATTCTTCTGTTGATTTGAACCCAATCACTCCATCTTCTGATTTCCCGTCAAAAGATTCAAAGGAATCGTTTGATCCACCTCTTCCTGATTCTCCACTTGCAGTCGTTCCGACTGTACCAGCAGTCTTCGAAGACAATTGAGAGTCGAAACTATCATGTCCCGAATGATTAAGTTTTCCCTTCATGACTGGTTGACTTCTAGCGGCAAGCAGGAAGTCGTTCAAACTCTCCCCGCCTTTCTTCGCCACCAGTGTTATGCGTTTCTCTGATTTCCCCATTGCTGCATATGCGTCGAACACGTCGGCATTGTCGTGAAGACTGACGTTGTTAATCGACAAAATGATATCCCCCATCCGCAGCGGGGTCCTAGCAAACAAACTTGAAGGACTTATTTCGGATATGCATACAGCACGACCAGATGATGTTTCCTTCATCCCCATACGAATCCCCGGATTCTCCGAGGAATCTGATTTTTCGATGCTAACCACTATTGCTCCMGTTAATTTCCAACTTTCTTTCATTGAGATCGAGACGGGTCCTTTTAATTCTGTATCTTTCGATATCAACATGCTTCCATCACTAGTCATTTCCTCTCTTTTTCTCGCTGTGTTCCTCTTATTTATATCTTCAGAGTTTTTTCTAATAGGTTTGTGTTCAGAACCATCCATTGTCTTCACTTTCTCTATCGTTTGAAAGTGCGGCTTTTTTTTTGCAATAGAAGAAATGTCTTTTGAAATGCTCGAAATGGATGTTTCCGTTGCAGATTGAAAATCGTCTGAATCAAGGTGTTTTTGCACCACAATCGTAACGGTATCGGTTGCTGACGTAACAATATCTGGGGGGTAAAGGAGATTAACATTAGACTTTTTTCGTTCTTTTTCAATAAGTACAATAGGTCGATTGATAACACTTACCAAGTGCTCTTTGGGTTTTTGGATCTTTTATCATATTTTCGGCATTGATGGAGACCACAACATCACCAACTTCTATTCCAGTATCAGCGAATTTCCCCGCAGGCGAAATCTGCGAAACAACAAGTCGATTTCCAAAAGGAAAACGTTTGAGGTGAACAAAGATACCGATCTTTTCGTTTCGATGGCCCTTCCTTACGGTCACAGAATACAAGCTTGGAGAAATGCCTTCTTTGTCTAAGTAAGAAATCCAAGTTTTGCTGTTTTGTTGTTCATGAAGATCTACAAGCTGGTCCAAGGTCTTTCCGGCATTGAAATTTTTCTTGACACCATCAAATATGCTGGATTCTTCGTGAGACTGTACACTGGATGAACTTTCTCTGGATGTTTTGTGTCCCATCGGATCGTAACAGTTCTTCGCCTCCACGGGCCAGCAGCCAAAATCTCCTATGTTGCTAGACGCTGGTGAAGACATGGAATATGGAATGGGCTGTGCTTGTTCGAGTATTTCTGGTTCTGAGAATGCTACGTGTTTTTGGCGTGTGGGAGAAGGCACAGATGTGGCAACATAATTTGATGGGGAGTAAACCATCGAATTCATTATTTTTCTTGATTGACGACCGGATTTGAGTGCTCGAATCGGAGGGGGACTCACTCCATGAAACAGAGAAGGTGGCTCTGGACTGCAAGCCCGAACTGTATAATTCAAAGCTGAAGATGGGGATTGTGCAAGCCGTTGCCGTCGCAATCGGTGAGCCGCTGCTTCGGTTGACTCGTTGAACCCAGTACGATTATTCCCACTGCACTCGGCTGACGAGCAAGCACTCCCACTGTCAAAGGAATCGACTCGTTTCATTCCTAAGGTATTTTCCGCCATGAAATGTTTTGGATTGACCCGATCAAAAGAATTATTCCGCTCAAATGCATTGGCCCTCTTTACTCGCTGTGTGTCACCTGCGACGAATTGAGTGCGATCATGAAGTCCATAGCTCGAATTTCGCCCAAAAGTTCCACCAGATTGATTTAGATTTTTGGTCTTCTGGTCTTCTAGTTTTCTCTCTTTCTTTATCAAAGTGCCATCTTCTTGAACTAGAAGGTTTCGAACTGTTACGGATCCATCGGGATTCACAATTTCAGAAACGTTCAATTGACTCCCTGATAAACCTGATAGTGTAGAACTGTGATCGGACAGGAGGCTCAGATTATAGGCGCTACTTTCAAATTTGGAGGAATCTTCGTCTGAAGTGCATCCGTTGTATAGGTTGTATCTGGGACCAAACTTTTCAGATTGAGGATTGGATGAAAACATAATTACAAGCCGATGTCTGCTGGTTCAACCGGCGCAGTACTTTTACGAAATTATATCCTAGCCGGCACGCTAGATCGAAGAAAAACTACTTCAGATTGTCTCAATCGAGCTGTATGCCTCCAAATAAAGGGTTTCTCCTGGGTTTTCAGGTTCCATACCATACTTTCTTTAACCGGTCTGCAACGAATATCATCATAATTCATGAACCTCCGATTCGATATTCGTACCGGTACTATTTGTTGGAAAGTCAGTCGTTACAGGCGTCGTCCGACTCGTGTTAGGGGACAAAAATGGCGCGCCGGTGCTCTAAATGCCGAAGTCGTAAGTCGTACTGTACCCCAGAGGTCACCCCTGATAGTACCGTACACATGGTACGAAGTACTGTACTTCTTCGACACAACAAGTTTAGAGGGAAAACGTGACGCGACCCAACTATCGAGTTTTCGAGGGTTCGAGCCGACCCTCCAAATTATGACCCCTAACCAGAGACCAATGTACGTACGGTACAGTACCATCTGAGTTAATTACAGTATGGTACTTCGTACAAGTACTACATAATCGTACCTTGCCGTAAAGTTTTTCAATGCCACGAAAACCTGTTCCAGTGGAATTGGAGAGTATGAACGAGTACGGTAGGGTACGAGTACGGTATCCTCTTGAAATCCACAACGGTACTACTTACAGTACTTTTTTACCTACTAAAAGGAACAGTAGAACAAATATTTATTCTTGTATGTGAGGCAGTAACACGTAGTAAATCACGAGTGAATAGTGAGTGACAGCAATCCGCAACACTCATCTCACTCTTTATTGTAAACACGTAGTAATAYGACACTAAAGAGCWCACRTACATTTCGCAGGTTATGAGCAACAACAGCATACCTCAGCTCATCACCATCATCAGAGGACTAACAACAACCATTTCAATAGATTGATTTTCTACCCCTTGAGCCACGGAGCGCCCTTCCCCACTACGGCACTTCCAAGCCAAAGACCACCATCCGGCCGAATATTCTGATATTCCCGGAAGAGAACCCAGTACAAAATCAAGTAGAAGCCTACGGTACACATTCTCAGAACACCGGTTTCAACATACTTAACGACAACACCCACCATGGCGCCGACAAGGAAAAAGACGACAACACATGGAGGAGGAACAGGATCGACACCAAGCCGAAGCAGCACACGTAAACCCAAACCAAAGACACCAGAAATTGGCAAATACCTAGTCAAAACACCCTCCAGAAGGACCCCCTCAACAGCTTCGAAACTTCAACTSATCCCATACGATGGGACAATACAGAGAGAACTCAGGGCCCTGGAACGTGTCTTYCCAACAAATTCAACACCAGAGATATACGATAGGGAACTCTTTGCCTTCAAACCCAAATATCCACCATCACCAACAAGCTATATAACTCATCTTACTGTTGTCCATACTAAGGAACTCAATAGTACAGATAAACTAACAGCACTTGGCGACARCCTTCAAGACCTCCTCCACCGGAACCACTTCAAAATCATAGACCAGGACACAAGATACCACTACAGTATCGCATTCATCGAATACATGAACAAGGTACTCCCACCCACAAGGGATACACCACCAGAAGCAGTTCCTCCACGGAGACAATCTAAACCTCCCCCGCATTTAGTACACAGCCCGGACCCACCGTCCAGAGAGGAGATGCAAAAGCAACTGCTCACGGACAACACTAAAACAATGCACCAAGAAACATCAAGCGACAGTGAATCATCACTCAGCTCAATCGATGTTTCCCCCTCAGATCTTATTAAACGATTCGCCCGCGAAAAAGAACTGGAACAACAACCCAAATCACCACATAACCAACCGGACCATCGTAATCCCAACACAGAGGATACTGAGGACACACAGAGTGTAGACGACAAGATTGCACAGTATGAAAAACAATACGAAAATATAGACCATGAGATAGACTCTATAAGAGAAAGCTTCGATGATCCCAGCGARCCCAGCGGACCACGAAATAACACATCTCTGGAAGCCCAGCTCAAGGCRAATGATGACAAGTGGACAAAGAGACTTACACTGATWGATAACCAGATCCTACAACTACAGGAAGGATATGAAAAAGTTATCCAATCCACATCGAATGAACTGGCCAACACCAAACAGGTCTTAACCACTACCAAAGCTGAATTAGACGCGGCAACAGAGGAACTTCAAACAGCCCTACAGACAGTCAACACTCTGAAGACACAGTTACAATCCCAAACAACAGAAATAAGAGGAGCACTGAACATCAACACAGACCTCCAAAGTAACTTGAAYGCAGCAGCAACAACAACATGGGCACTTGATCAACGTACCAGCAAAGCGACGTCGGTTCTAGCCTCAATCAAAAATGAGACTATCCACCTAAAACACCTACGAGATGAAGCAAGCAGCATCACCACCAAAACACCCACTACCATTACGGCCGAACTCACTGAACAGCTCAATAAGATTGTGGAACAAAGTACTGCTGACCTGAAAGCAAAGACAAAAGAGATTGAGATTCAAGTTACAGGAGCAGTCCTGGAACAAACAAGAGTAATGGAATCGACACTGGAATCAACTATACAGGATATTATCCATGATAAGCTGGAACATAAAGCTCACATCGTGCAAAGCCTCAAAGATACAGTGATCTCTCAAGCCAAACGTGAAATCGTATCACAGGAATGCAAAAACATGGCATACGATATTGTCGTACCGCAGATATGCTTTGAGTGAATTGATGTAAGATACTTCTACAAATCATACTTGCACATAACAATGGTTACTGGAGTCATGATAGCATAGATTTCAAGTTGACTGAAGCTCTTTTAAAATTCTCAATTCGTTAGTTGAAAACATTTTTTATACTTTCGTAGTACGGAACTTCAATAAGAGTTAATCAAGAACCTTCTACTAAGAATACGGACGACAGTGGGGACACCACGACACTCCACAATCTTCACCGTTGTAAGAGGCCGTATCATCGTCTACTGTTTCTCTGGTGTCGTTGTCGCCGTTATCTTTGCCACTATCATATGCAGCAAGCGCAGGGTTTGGACGAACTGCTCTCGATATATTGTTGTTGTTTTTGTTGCCGTCGTCGTCGCTGTCTGTGTCAGTCTCGCTGTCGTATTTGTTGCCACCGCCAACCTCGTTTTGTTCATCATCACCTACTGTCTCGGGCTTAGATTCCAATGCTCTCATCTGCTCATCATCAAGATCATCGAAGTCAACATAGTCGTCAATTCCGTCATCCAAGTCATCGTAGTTGCCGTTCTTTACGTCGTCCGCAGTGTTCAACTTGACCGCTCGCATTCCGTMATGATCAACAGACGAAGCAACACTGTCGTCTTCAGGCTTGGCATTCGGTTTGCTTCCTCTCGATTCGTCGTCGTCAGTGTCATCGTCAATCTTGTCGTCAGTCTCGTTGTCAATAGCATCTTCCATCTCATCATCGACACTGCCTTTAATGTCGTCAGCAGGGGTGGAGTTCACCTCGATTGCTCTCAATCCTTCGTAATCTATGGACGAAGCACTACTCTCAGAGGCATCGGGGTCCTTCCGCTCGACAACGACAGAAATTTTCTTCTCACTCTTCAGGATTTTCTTCAGTTCATTTACATCTTTAAAGTCATGTGAGTCGATACCATTTAGCTCCAATATTTTATCTCCTGCAATTACTGGTGTCTTCGAGAAGTGTCCTCCAGATGGAACTTTGCAAACGTAGTATTTTCCGTTCCTCTCTTCAATTTTCATACCAGCGTCTTGCTTTGCATTGCTTTTGGTAACCGACACTGTAATAACATCACCGGGTTCAAACATGTCGGCCGGGGTCAGTTTTTTACCTTTTGCATTCGTGATCGGCATTCCGTTCTCATCAAATCGCTGGCCGCCCCCGGGTCCATCAGAATCGTCATCTTGCAGTTCGTTCAGTTGTTGTGCTGCGCTCCTTCGATAATCCTCCTATGACATACCGAAAATAATATCCGTCAGTAAGAATGAAATAATTTTTTCTCTCCAATTTCCGGGTGAATCATCCTACTTACGTCAACATCCAAAGCAGAACCGCAATTCTCACATACGAAGTCGCCACGCTTGTTAAGCTTGGGATCGATCGTCTCGTGCTTGCAGACGTCACATTCGTATGTTTTCTTTTCGGGAAGAATGCAGCCACATTCTTCGCAAACCCGATCTCCCTCGTCGTCTGGTTGAGGATTAATGTTCTCGTGCTTGCATTCGGGACACACGTAAGTACTCATTTTAGGATTTCGATCATCGCAATCAGCTTCATTATTTTCAAATGGACTAACAGAATCAATAACATGGCCGCATTCTTCACAAACGTAATCGCCATCTTCATCTAAAGATAAATCTTCATTATCGAAGCCACAGTGGTCACAATGATAAATCTAACGACAAATGATTTTTGAAGCGTCAGAGACAAGAGAAGATTAAACATTGGCCGTGAATTTGGCATCGTACTTACTCTGGCTAGATTCGAAACTGTTGCAGGCGACATGAGAGACACATTGTTCATATTCCCCCGTGATCGGTCAGATTCTTTGTACCCCTCTTCTTCGTCGTATTCATCGAGTTTATCCTTGGGAACCACCACGATTCGAATGCTCTCGATCAAATCATTAGCATACTCTTCATCGTGGAACTCGTCCGCCGGGACACCATTTATTCTGACGACTCGGTCGCCAGGGTTGGCCCGAGCTCTGGCAGGTGTTGTTTCTAAATAGTACGCATCATCATTTTCCGATACTGAGTAGCCAGACTTTTTCTTGGTGTTGCGTTGTATAGTTACAGATTTGGTCAAATCTTCAGACATTTTCTTCTCGTTCAAGCTTTAGTATATGATCGTTCACAAGTGGCGGTTGCTCTCGTTGCCTATGACGATAGATCCAAGATTTGCTGGATAGGACTGTTACAAGGATGATTGATAATGAAAGTTGAAAAGCGGCCAGAAAGGAAAGGATTAAGTAGGTTTCTTTTTTTGAGTCTTAGTTGGACTCGTACCCTACTCACTGTAGGAGAGTTCAGCAGTGCAGTACCGTACAAGAAATAAAAAGTGGACGAACTTACCGAACGAATTACGAGTTCGTACCGGTACGAGTAAAGTACTCTACGATAGTTGGTGCCGTTCGCTATCTCCTCAACACCCTCAAGTTAGAGTCCACTGTGATGCTTTTTGGTCTTTCAAAAGAGACTTTAGTGACAACCAGAAAGGGGCGCAACAATGAAAAATGTCCCAAAACTTGAAAGAGTCATTTTGAGATGAGGCATTTATCAGCGTTATTCAACAGTTATATTTTCAATTCTGAAGCTTTTGATTGGTTGAAATTCGCACCGTTTATGACGGTTTTCTGTTTGCTGGGAAAGAGTGAGCTCTGAGCTCTGAGGCCCCCGATTTTCCGCGCTGATGGAATTTCGGGTTGGCTTGAAAAATCCGAGATGAACGATTGTGTAGATGAACACCTACAGTGTTCTCAGCAGCCAACAAATATTGTCGTAAAGTATTCTGGAACGGCTGCGGCTAGTCCATATTGTCAATAACCCTGTCGGTGTAATTGTTAGTTGTGGAAAAGAACAAAAGATGGTGACAATTTCGCTCACGAACGAAACCATAGAAAGCGCAAACGGGAGGAGCAGAAACACAAATTCATCTGCCACCAGTAGCAATCCATCGGACAAGAAAATTGTTGAAATATTAAACACTACAAGAGGTCCAGCCTCCGTTCTGAACAGGAAAGAATACGAAAAACGACTGTTGACTTTCAGTGCGTCGACGTATTACGCTAAACCGCCCTCTCTTTCTCCGCTCTTTTGTGCAAGATTCGGGTAAGTAATAAATATTATTCAAGAGCCATGAATGCGAATTCGAATCAAACGCAGGAACAACTATCGATGACATCCGATGACTGAGTGATCCATATTCCGGAAAGAAAATATGTGATTTCAAAAATTTCTCTTAAGAGATTGCCACATATTTAACCAGCGCTTTCTTTTAGTTCATCCACGAAGAAAAGCGGTCAATACTATCCAAAAATATAACCACGACAAAGCTGTTGCCTTTATGTAATGCGATGGTGAATTTTTGTCGTGTAAAGTTCCGATTCTGACTTTGGTTTGTCTCGAGCATCGTAGAAACTATAAGCTACACACGGACCTACACTTGGAGATTAAGATGAATCGAGAGCGATAGATCGTTCAACGTTCTTCGCTCGTCGCAACAGATCACAATTCTCATTAAATTTCTTTTGTCTGTTTATTTTCCTTTCGTTTCGTTACGATTCATCGTAAACCAACGGATTCGTTACAGCTGGGAAAATGTCGACAAAGACATGCTCGTTTGCTCATCGTGCGGTGCGGCCCTCGCAATAACCCTCAATTCGAAACTATCGGCTAAAACCTTCGATAAACTTTGCCACGCCTACCGCACTAAAATTGTATGCAATCACGACACCAATTGCCCCTTTCGATTGTCGTCCGTCGATGAGCTTCATTCTCTCGAATCTTCTGAAGAACTGGACTCTGTAGAGGTAGAAAATGATGAAGATGATTCGGAACATGCATCGCTTGACGTACCTGTGTACATGGGACAAGTTTTACCAGAGGACTCCGTTAGACTTCTGGAGTGCTATAGACCTGCTAAAATTATGAAGCAAAAATCGAAAGTGTTGATTGACGCTATACGCTCTCTTTCGTGCGCTACTAATATTGGTACTACGGATGAAAATGGAAACGGGGCAGGAGATGATAGAAATACCTGGGGATATCCTCGCCTTCAAATCCCAACTAAGATTCGACAAATAGATTCTGATTCAAAACTAACGAAAGCATTGGGGTGTGGCGATATTTCAATTTTGGCCTTAACGTTGCTCGGGTGGAATCCAATTCCAAACAAGACTGGAAAAAAATCGGCAGGTACTGTCTCCCTGGGTTGTCCCTTCTGCTTGTCCATCATGACAGTTAACCCGGAACATCAACAACAACAACAACCACAACAACTGCAAGAAGAATTGGAAGGCAGTGACAACAGCGATGCACGTCAATCAGATCGCACAACTAAAAGACAGCGAATGTCTTGTCGGAATTTAAATCCTCTCGAAGCACACCGGCACTACTGTCCTTACAAAGTTGGCTTTCCGAAGAAATCCTCAGACTCGAACCCTGTTTGGAAAATTATTTTAGAACGGCTTCGTAAAGAATGCCATGAAAATGACGTACATAAATGCACTAAGATCAGGGAAGAAGCAACGGGCGTTCCTGCGACTGGCTTCGATAAATCTATTGAGAAAGTACGAAGAATTTTGCGTGCTGGGATTGCACCAAAAGAAATAGATCTGAACGCTTGATTGCCGCACACGACCCCAACTGCTTGTGTTCGCCTCTGAAAATTGCAATGCGCAAGGTAACGAAGTTGTTTTTTGTAGCCCTTGATTCTTCTTCTCAAATTATTTTACCATGGAGGAGAAAATCATTTTTGTACATTAGCTGAAGAAACACAGTAACATGAGATATACTATTGATTCATTTTGCTGTATTAACTTATTCTGCATTGATGATCTGTCAGGCCGATTTTGCGCACTCTTCATGCCCGAAATCCATTCAATTAGATGAAGTGGGATTACTGATTTTGAGTAGTTTGAATAAAGCTGCCGCCTCGCGTATTCTCGAAAATTCGATGCAGAAGGCTTGGACTTCATAGTATATGTCGGCAACATCAACAATTCGATTCCGGAGCAAACTCTGGATGAAGACGCACACTAGACGAACCAAACGATTCTGTGCATGCCTGTCAGGCATGTTCTCGCAGCTCGCAATGCAGCTCGATATGAATAAATTGATATATTCAGGGTGTAGAACGGGTTCCTGATCTTGATTCTTATTGTGATGACTCCCTACTTCTTTGAGTGCCGCGGCCGTACCGTTACCGGTGTGAACATGGTTGTGCGTAGCCAATCGATTCACAACTTCCATGCTATGTAGGGACATGTCCATTCCCACTAGTGCCGATAGATATTCGTTCTTTACATTTTCGGGAGAGTGCTGTAAAATGACGAGTAAGCATTCATGTGCAATGAGAGGATTATGCTCGACAAGTCGAGGTAAGTTTTGCGGTGTCAGACCTGATTCCTGAACTAGTTGAATCCGAGATTCCTCCTCTCTCCTCCCGGAACTGTGTTGCGCATTTGTATTTGAATTACTAGAGCTACTTCCCTTGTTCTTATTACCGCGGTTGCGGCGTTGTTTTGAAGAGCCTTGCGGTTGCTGCTTCAGATCCTGTTTTTGTTCTTGTTTCGAAGCATTTAACAGCTCCAATACCGTTCGCTGATCGCTTGGAGTCAGAGTCGTGTCAAATGCTTGTGTTTGGATTAATTTGAGTACATTGCGATATTCTTCGGTAGATACTTTATCTCCCTCCTCTCCCGGCAATAGCATCAGACGCAATGTTGTTGGAGTGAGCCACAAAAGCTCGGCCTGCACAAAGTCAAAAAGGTCATTTTTACCTTTCTCATTGTATTGCTCTTCATCATCATCATCTTCGTAAGCAGTTACTGGCAAAAGAGGCGGTGGCACAGGACGAGCAAATGGTGAACAAACACTAGGAAGTGGCCCATATAATTCCTCATTTGACACGGTCTTGCAGTCTCCTTTTCTTTCTTCTTGAAGTAACAATCGCTCCAAGTCTTGTTGTTCTGATTCCCTTTTTGCCCATACTAACGGGCTTGTGTATCCATTGTCATCATAGACTGTTGTCCATTGTTTGATTGTATCCTCGAGATCCTTTTGAGTTTCTGGCGACATGACTTCTTCGGGATTCTTCTTGTTCGTAGCCGCAATCAGAGCTTGGTGCTTTTCTTTCCCCATGATGATGGGAAGAAATGATTCTACTAAATCCAATAAGCACTCTCGTTCAACAAATGAATCTCGCCCTTCACTTTCATTCGTCCCATTCCCGCCGTTGTAGTTTTCTTCTACTTTTAAGTCATGCAATATCGCAAGAGTATCTTTGACCAGTATGGGCAAAAAGGGAGAATCAATGCATGGCATGCCGATCTTTCTATTTTCGCAAGAAACTGCTTCTATGACTAATAGGGCAGTTAATTGTTCTATCCTCGTTACTTTTCTCGTAAATCCTGCTAAGAGTAAAGAATGAGCGCCCCAGACTACCGTGAAGTCGCTGAGATCCTTTCCTAGCTCGGTCTGTAGCTCTTGTTGGACGCATTTCCTAATCGCACCCAAGGCCTTGATTGAAGAAAATTTTTCTCCGCCATCGCCTCCCTGTAGCTGGGAAACTGATGGAATCTTCCGAAAGAGTTGATTGTAGAAGACGTCAGCCATACTGAACGCCTCGTGCCTGACAGTGAAAAAAGCTAATCCTTCACAACAGTTTTTTCCTCTATAATGTCCTCGACACAAATTTCTTATTGGTCAACTATCTACGATCTAGTTGCCTAGTTCAAAGCGAAGAAAGTTTGGGTGTTTGATCACTGTAATGCAACGGAGTCTATCGCTCTTCGGCATCAAAGGTGTTTTCTGGTTTCAGAACAGCTTTTTTCCCTGGCTAATGTCAAAATAGGAAGCAAGGCTTTTTTTGAACGAACGTGCAACAACTCAAAAGGATGAAAAAAGACTGCGAATTACATCGTCGATGTCGGTACGTACTCGTACGACGGACCGTACTGTACAGTACTGTACAGTACAGTACGGTGCGGTACGGTAGATTTAAATTCTCAGAGATATTACGTACGATGGCAGACTTTCCAGATTAGAAGTAATCATGGAAGTCGAATAGAATAAAAAGTACAAAAATAGTCGTTATTCGACTGGAATTGTCCTTCTGGAATAAGGGAGTTTGAGGGGGAGAAAAATGTAAAAACATGGTATCAGCAAATTTTTAATGTAAAGCATGTACTAGGTTGAACGTGATTTTTTTCTGTAAAAATATAAAGTTACGGAAATGAGATGTTGGTGGCACGAGACGAGTTTCCTGATATGCTACGGTAGTACTATGAAAGATTGAACAAATTACAAACGTACAGTACCGTACACAGTACACCCAACTTTCGACTTCCACTGGCTGCGCACCGCAAAAGACCTAATTTTGTTGATGATGACTCGTTCGAATACGTTCGAAAACGTACGGTTGGTACATACGAGTACGTACGTTTACGGCTAACAAAAAAACTACTGTACGTACCGCACCGTACTCGTACTGTGGTACCTTTAGACTGCATATGGCGGACTTCGGACCCCTGACTAACGGAACGTAAGTGTGTACGTACCGTACAGTACGATTATTGTAAGTACAAGGGAAGAACGTTGAACGTACGAGTACGGTACTGGTAGAACGTAGACCGGTACAGTACGGTATGAACTATTCTACCGGTACTGTATGAATTACCGGTACCGTACAGTACCGTACTGCACTATTCATAGCATCTTTGATTCATTGCATCTTTGACACAGGTCCCAAAGCATTGTAGAAGTACAGTAGCTGACAACTGACAATGCACAATTATTTGACGATAGACCTTGATCATCGTTTTTGATGATATTTTACAACACATTATCCCATTGAATGGTTTTGCCTGCAGACTATCGCTACGTTGAAATAGCCGATTGTCCGAAGACGAATGCCCTAGTGAAGGCTCAAAATGAATGAGGTCAAAACAAAGACGAATACAATAAGCTCCGGAAGACAGAGTAATCAGAAGAAAGCGAAAACTGTGTATTCGTATGGCAAAAAGTCATCCGCACTGAAAGCGTTGAATGCAATCTTCACCGAATATCTCAAATTTATCGAGAGTCCGCATCGCCAAGATTCTATCCTCAAGGCGGTGCAGTATTCTCTATGGCTACTTTCAAAATTCTATCGTAACACGGGAGCAAAACGTGGTGTTCCGCATCGTATTTCAAAGTCCCTATTGAATCTTCAAGCAGAAATAAGTTGGGCCCGGTATCTTTACCGATTTTTCGGGTTACCTGCCGCAATCAATGGTGTAGACCTGACGAAAAACATTTGGACAACGGGAAGTAACTCAAAACGCCTGGGACAAATTATGTCGTGGACTATGATTGCTTACTATCCGCTGGAACATTTGTCATATCTTGTTTGGAAGGCACCAGGGATATCCTGGCTACCCTGTGCTTCACCCACGCCCGTACCAACAAACGACAACGCAACTTCATGTCCGAATCAAAATATCAATGGATGTCTCTATTCGCCGACTCAACTTGCATCTAAAGCGTCTGCTTGGTCCTGTCGATTTTGGCTAGCATGGCTCATCTTAGATACTGTTCGCTGCACACTAGCATTGCAAGACATACATCATACAACACATTCACCAGCCACCCCAAAGAATGCTACCGGTACCAACCATGACGTGCAGCAGATAGAAACATTAAAGCAAGAACTTCAAACAGCCGACCTAAACAATATCCTCATCAAGTCGGAACATTTGCAGATAACTAGAAATATATTATATATGTTACCGGCAATTAATTGGTCGCTTCCAAATTGGGATACCCAGCCCTGGCTCTCTAGTGATGCCGTGAACGGACTGTGTTGGCTCGAGGCCATCGTTGGATTATACCAAGGGATTCGAAATTTTCGGAAGACTCAAGTATGAAAAAAATCTCAAAGCTCTGCAATGGTCATTGTTGCATTCCTTGGTATCATTCCTCTTCGCTAGGTTAAGAGAGCTCTTGGCTGAAGACGAAGGGATGCGTTACAGGAGGAAGCATTTCGATCTGAAAACGTCTTTCCTCACCCTAATTTTGAATAGCGATTTTTTAAACAACTGATACTAGTTCCCTTCTTTGGCCCGAAAAATTCCATTTTCCGAATATGTATGATAAGAATAAGAGAAAAAAACAGCTTTTTTCGTTTGTTATGACGTTTGGAAATAGTCTAATATTGTATCCCTGTTTGGACTCTCTATGATTAGAAGACGAGGCCATAATTTCCTTTCTTTTTCTTAATGATTATAATATGTATTTGTATGTTTGATTGTATCTGTAAGTTTTCACGGTAGTTTGGAAACCTGATCCAAATCTATCTTCCTTGCGGCTTGGTGTCTCAGTTTCGAAATATTGTTAGCTCTAAACACTGATGAATTCAAATCCATCCGATCTCTCCTCGAATTTCCCTTGATTAAGATCAACTGTATCAAGAGAGTCAATATTCAATTCGCCTGACTCAAAATGCATGCTTGAATCACTTCTAACACTACGATGTTCTCCTTGATGGTCCAAAGACATTTGGGATCCATCAATAGGTCCAAGACTACCAGTAGTGGCAAAATCAGCACTGTGTCTTCGGTGACTTTTGTAGCTAGCATAGATAAATACAATCAATGCAGCGCATCCCAAACCGATTATAGTAGCGATGAGCCCAACTGCCCATTCTGGCTGGTTCTCTAGAGGACGCTGAGATCTTCCAATTATGGAGTTGGTAGAAAGAATGTACGAAGGAGATTCGGTTGGTAGTTCACTTGGCGTGAAGGACGGAGCGAAAGAAACATCTACCCTTTCGAAAGAAGGACTTTGGCTTGAATCTCTGGATGGGCTTGAGGAAACAGAACTTGGGATCATACTTAATGCTTTCCGTTCCGTTGGAAGATGACTTGGGTGATCAGTAGGGTAGGAAATGTCACTTTGCTTCTCACTCACACCTATGCTAGGTTCTACGCTACCAGTTGGAATTTCGATGGGAGCAATTGAAGATCCATTCCCTTCAACAGGACCGTGGAATGGGGTCGGGTTCGCGCTTGGTTCCATAGATTTAGTACCAAAACTACTTGGAATACCACTAGGATAAGTGCTTTCACTAGGTGAAGAACTAGGGAATTCACTTGGATAAATGGACCCGCTTGGTGAAGAACTTGGATTCGTGCTTACTGCGTTCGTTGTGCCTGAGGATGGAGCACTACTTGGATACATAGTAGAAAGTGGATTTCTAGATGGCTCGATTGAATCTAACGAGCTCTGGCTTGGAACGTCGGAAGGAAAGGCACTCGAAGTTGGAATACCACTTGGATCAGCCTTGGGAGAAATGCTAGAATTGAGATCATTACTCGGTGCAAAGCTAGGGCTCTGGATGGACTCATATGATGAAAGAGAGGTAGCTGAACCACTTGAACTACTTGAGGAAAATCCGGTAGGTGAGTCACTTGAACTCCTCGTTAGACTTCGTGTCGGCGAACTGCTTGAGGGACTTGTTAGACTTCCTGCAGGTGAACTGCTCGGCTTACGCCTCTCCGAAGGAAACTCGGTAGGAACTGAGCTATACGATCCACTAGGGATTCCGCTAAGGAAAATAGACGGTCTCGAAGATGGAAAACTAGACAGGGTTGAAATAGGTTGCAACTTGCTTGGATTACTCGAAGGTTCACTGGCCGGATAAACAAAAATTGTAGTCGATGGCATCATTGAAACTTGAGAACTGGGAGAAGAGTTCGGTGAAGTGCTTGATAAACTACTGGACAAACTGCTGGACAAACTGCTTGATAAGCTACTCGAAATAGTGATTGATATAGACGGTGAATCAGTGTTTTTGGTAGGATTCCCACTTGGGCTTCCACTTGGAAAAGTACTTTGACTTGGAGATACAGTGGGGGTGCCGCTTGGGTAGAAGCTTCCAGAAGGTGATTCACTCGGAGATACACTCGGATCCATACTTGGTGGTGAGCTTGAACTTTCAGTAGGGCTATCACTTGGTAACACGCTGGGGCTGCTACTTGGTGATTCGGTTGGGCGTGCACTTGGTGAAGAGCTGGGTGAAGTGCTTGGAGAAACGCTTGGGTTTGAAGTAGGAGAAAAACTAGGAGCAGCGCTCGGGCTAGCACTTGGAATGAAGCTTAGACTCGGAGGCTCACTAGGGGCACTGCTTGGGTAGAAGCTTCCAGATGGTGATTCACTGGGAGATACACTTGGGACCTTGCTTGGTGACATGCTTGGGTTTTTAGTAGGACTATCACTTGGAGAAGAGGTTGGGTTGGTACTAGTTGAAGCGGTAGGTGAAGCGCTCGGAAAAGAACTCGGTGAGGTAGA